TCTTTTTTTTTTTAAATAGACTTGTTTTATTTAGATTTGTTTCAGTGTGATATACAAGTTATCAATAATGCTTTTAATCACTTATATATAAAGAGAAACATAATTGTTAGAAACATAGTCTGTCGGTAAACAAAATTAATACACGGTTAGAACTGCGATCGACCATCTTTTTTATTCTACAAGAGACTTCCTTTTGATTACAAAAGTACTACTCACTCGCAGTAGAAAAACATATGTCGATAGTAAATAAACTATTCTCAATTTAGCCTTAGAATAAAACCTTTACAAATTTTGATAATGACATGTACATGTAAGATTATATTTTTTTCTATAAAGAAAAGCTTAAACAAAATATTTTGACTCTTTTAGAATTACTATCTAAACAATTTAACCGTATATGGACGTGGGGTGTTATATGTGTGAATGCATATGCTATATACATGATATATGTGAATGTATTATATGTTTATACTAAATTACACCGGTAAAACAATATGTAGATTACGTAAAACTACATTTTAATACATGCAAATATATACATACAGATAGATAAATATGTACATCTCTTCCATCACGAGACGGTTAATTTATTTCCACAAAAAGTCTGGCTAGATAGATTTGTTCATAATTTCGAAACGCATTTCCCTGACTGAAAAGAAAGATAATTTAAATGGCAAATTCGAAAATGAAATATGAAAAGCAATAGATAGAGTCTTAAATTAGTATATTTCAAAGGCAAATTACTTACTTGTTTAAAGATGGAATGTTGTATGAAACAAATAAAACCTTACGGTTGACTTTCTATTGTATGTCAAACATTACATTGATGCAATATCAGTTGCTATCATAAATAAATAAGATGAACATAAAATTTGATAAAATCAACAATTTAAATAATGAAATACGTAAATTAAAATCAAGATAAATTAGATAGTAAAGTAGCAATTTCATACGCCACAACAGAAGGTTTCAAGAGCAACGTGGCAGCTGTAAAAGGCTGTACTACACTTCATTGTTGTTATGTTTTCGTGATAATTTCTTTGACCAAATTTAGTTTTGAAAATTAAATACCGCTTAAGCTGGTGATACAGGCATGAAGAGTGATGCATTTTCCTACTATCACAAACAAACATACTGCTACTGTGGTTTTCTCATCCCCCCCGAGTGACCCCCCTGCAAGATATTTATCATCAGAATTGAACTGAATACTAGTACCTAGTTTCATGGGACACATTACAGGAATTGAAGGCCTGAAAATTAAAATTATTCGAAAGCTTTATCACAAACAGTTTATATGACCTCCATTTTTTATAATAAATATGTTCTTCAAAGTTCTAAAATAAGCTTTAAGATTTGTGTTCCGATAAAGAATATTGGATTAATGCACCACAGTGTGCTTTACATTTCAATGAAATATAAGAGCAAACAAAACTGAATCAGTAACTGTCAATCTTGTTCGCTCTTAATATATATTTACTCTAGCTTGATTTTATAACACAATACGTAAGGATAAGTCTCTTTATTACTGATAATAACGTCATCTCTTAAATTTGTAATATGTTATTTTAAATAGCACGAATGCTCGATATTTCGAATCATTTAAATAATAAAAAACATAATTAATGAAATAAACATGGACTGTAATAAATAAGTTTTAACTTTTTAGTACATAAACAAGTATATAAGGGTAAAATAATATAAAATATTTTTGGCAGTTCAGAAACTAGAAGTTGAAAGATCACATGATTTAAGTGATATCACATCAAATAGTTTCATTGTTTACTGATAAAATTAAATATAATAAAGTCTTGGTTAGTTTATCAGACAAATTTAATAATATTAATGTCCTATTTATATGTACAAATTAATGCAGATAATTTTGTACATTTACACATCATAAAATATTGCATGTAAACAAAGTAAATATCCGCTTTAATGTGTACTCCCTAACCGATTGTCCGAAAGTTAGTACATGTGATGGAGTGGTGATTAGGTAAAATCTATTTTAAGAACAGTGTTTCCTTCAGATCGAAGGCTATTTTTTATTGTTTAGATTGATTAGATAATAGATGCTGGGCTAGTTTTAGATAATTTTAACCCTTTCATATGTTTAATTACAAATCATTTTGTTATCTCTGCTTTGAATTACTTCATGTTATAATGTAATAAAGGCACTAGGAATTTAATATGAGAATAGATTATACTTAATATGTGTATGTCATATATATATATATATATATATATATATATTTCGAATGGTATTGGTAACAAAAAAGGTAGTTTATACACCTGTAACGAGATAATTCAATATACGAACTCATGGATAATGGTAATGAAGAAAGAAATAGAGAAAAACGGAATCCCTAAAGAACGCACACAACAATAAGAAAACAAATGTTGCAAACTCGGTTTCATGGATGGTATTAGAAAATACAAGTTACCGTCCAAGCCCCCCATACCGACTTTAAACATTTAATTATGTACGAAATGATAGGCCCAGTTCACCTCACAAGCGTTTGGCAAGATGTACTAAACGTTTTTCTATGTTGATCAATATGTCATATAAAAGTTTATATAAACAAGAAGTAACTTAAGGAAGACAACAAGCCGCTACATCCTTACAACTAGAACGCCTGTATTCATATTGTCAGTTATCTGCCACGCCCACTCTTATTTTAATGCACGTCTGGACCAAACTGTGAGCTTACTAGTATACAGATATGAAACTTTGCAGCGTTATGTCTGCGTCATATTTTCGGAGATGACAGATAAGACTTAAAAGCAGCATCCATCCTGTTTTCTTGCTCCATACACTGACCTAGAAGATTAAGTACTGTTTCTTTGTGTCTGAAATGTTACTCCTCTACAATGCGTTAAGTACTAAATATATTATGTATCATTTTTTTATTTTGTGTTGGAAATGAAGGAATTGAGTTAAAAGCATATTTCAAATATTAAAACATGTTTCAAATGACAAATACTGTAGTTTACATGGTTTGGAGAGGTAGGAGGGTTGTAGAGTGTGTAAGGGGGGAGGGGTAGTGGGTGAGGGGTGATGGCGGCTGTAGTGAACAATCAACGCGCCGGACAACTATGGTTTAACCCTGATCATAAGAAATGACCAAATATGTTTCAATTACTGCATTTTTTCCAGGAGGTGTCTTTGAACTCTTTTATTGCTAAAAGTATGTAACACCAGATGTTAGCCAAAATCATCCCTCATGTTCCGGCACCATATGACTTAAAATTTGTTGGTGCCCCATAAAACAAAATCAAACCAAACAAACATTACTTATTTTGAAAATTCCTTTTTAATGTTGAATTATTTTGTCCAGAATGAAAAGAATGAAATATAGACAAGTATTTAGCGTGTTAATGGTAGAAATACCATCATTTAAGCTTCATTTAATCAGTTGATAAAAATAATTTAAAGTAAAGGATGTAAAAATGAAAAATTACTGTTAGATCATTGGAAAGATATTCAATATATCAATATTACAGAATGGTAGCACACCTTTGTTGCGAGCTTATGAGAATGAAGTTGATACACGAAATATTTATTGGTTTATTAAAACAAGGGGAGGCTACTCACTCATGGACATGAATTGTGATGGTTTTACACATTGTCCCTTTAGGAGAACACTTCTACGTTAAAAATGCAATAAGCATACATACAATAAAATCATTGACCCTCTATTTTTAATTTTTAGGGGATTCGTCATATATGTTAAGAAATTTAAAAAAAAAATGTCTATGTTTATCATTTATAAATTTAATAATACAAAGCTTTATTTAAAGATGTACTATGCTCATCTTTTGGTAAAATAATTTTATCTAAGAAATGCATTGAGATCCATGAGATTCTTACTGAATATGTTTAATTTGAATGAAATAATGAATAAACTATGTATGGGAAGTTGCATTTCCTATTACGAGTCAAGTTAAATTGGTCTTTCTAAAAAATCTCCCAGTTTTTTTAATGACAATATATATTCATATGGTGACTACATATAGTGTGTAGAGTTCAAAACAAAACATATCTACCTTAAATGAATTCCAAACATGTTTATTTTATACATACAAAGAGACTGTGTAGCAATTATTGATATTTTTAAAAATACAATTTGGGCATAGTATATCTTTAAAAAGCCCGGTAAATCTGCTTTTTAATGAGCTAATATTTACTTGCTCTAATATATTGTAGTGTGTTTTACTACCTTGCTTTAAAGTTAAAACGCGTGTGTTGTTCTGTTAATTGTAAGAGTATAACTAACAGTGATTTTTAGAGTACCAGACAGTAACGTGGTTCTAAATTTAGAAAGTAAAAAATCACTTCAGCCTTCGTGTTTTTCATTTAAGCTGCTTATTTATCAACTAAAATATCAAATATTCATTTTTAGTTTCCCATTTTTTGTCATCCAATGGAAACGCTGCATTGTTAAATATTCCGAGTGTTAATTTTTATAGAAGAACAAAAGTCGATACTTTATGGAATTCCGTTCATAGTCAACTTCGTTTTTCAGAGTGCTTCATAGAACCGCTTAGTGACGTATTTAAGTGAATTATGAGGCCAAATAAAGCTTGACACTAAGTATCATGTTAGTATGTAGCTGTTCTACATAATTAGAAACATTATCCTGTCGCTATCGCTCCCATCGAAATTTCTAATTTCTGAAGAACAGCACGGATGAACAAAAACTCTTAAGCCGAATCTGGAATTGTTAGGTAATTTTGTTGTGTTAAATGGTTCCAACAGATTTTTCACACACTGAATTCTGTGACCAACCTATATATAGTCGAATAATTATCTCATGAATGTTCTAAATAACGTAATTTATTGTATGAAAACCATTGATGTTTTTCCCTCATTTTATGATGCTTGAATAGAAATTACCTTTTTACACTTGAAACCTCTCACATGTCAAGTCTCCTACTACATGTACTAAAATTACATCGTTACTTAAAGGAGTTATATGATTGCTTAATTTATTTGATTTACAGGAATATATTCAACAAATGGTTTGTATATAGTCATTACACAGAACAACGTGTTAATCAGATTAGATAATTCAAATATTGTTTGGAATTCAATGATATAATCAAGTTTCAAACCTTTTTATTTTTCTGTTTTTTTTTTAAATGAAATAAAATACGTTAGGATATGTAAAAATCAATGAATTGTTTACAATTAAGTACTGGATTACCAGTTAAGATTGTATTTCTGATTGGTTAAAATATTACAGCTGTGGATATGATTTTTAAGAATTCATTAAACTTCAAAGAAATACAATATGTCTTCCAAATGACATAAAACAGTAAAAAAATGAAATCAGAGTGATATCCTGGTTTGTAATGTTTCAATTATGGTAACATGCCAAGAAAACGTATGAAATTTGATTGTTCCGATTTAAAAGCCTTTGCTATAAACTGTTTCTTTGCTCAATTTCTACTTTATATGAAAAAGAAAAATCCCTTACTTTTATAATACAGATTTACATTACATGCTTTATATGACCGTGATCTTTTTCTGACACTGCAGTCATTACTTGAAATGAAAATAAGTAATCTTTATCTGTTGATAAACATTTTATTTCAAGTAAAGTATACATAGCTAGATATATTAATCTGTGCCGGTAAGCTTTCTTTAACCCACATTGTGACATGAACCAAATGTTTAGAGTAGCAACTGCATATGAATTAAAGGTGTCTGCGATCGGTCTTTATGTAAACGCGTGTACAAAAATGTTTTTCAGAATCATTTAATATTAAAAAAAGTTAGCTATCAAACCTTTTAGAATTTTTTTATATAAAATAGGTCTTCCTATAAGAGACCACAAGTGCTTATAATAGACAGATTTGTTTTCTTGATTCAATTATTGGATTATCACTGTATATTAGCTTATAGAATCCTCAAGTAGGCCTCAAACAAATTTGCATTTTAGTTGATCTTTGAATGGTCCACTTGCTAATTAATGCTTTCCTTTCATGATTTGATGGATCAATCATCATTGAACCAATAAAGTCTGTATCTTAGTCTTTGCAATCTTTAGAATATTTAATCTTTAGACAGGACTAACTTGATAATGTTTTCTCTAAAGAACCCGGTAATACCCCTGAAATGGCTCCAGAGCTTATACAGATTTATCTATTGTGACATAATGACCTAGCCAGCAACATGTTTTTCATATAGGGCAGTCTTTCGCAATCCTGTCTTTCTCTATTTTTTGATCATAATTTCATTAACGTGATTTGTACATAATTGACCATTGATTTGTTTTAGCATGGTTAAATATCAAATTGAATACAATGATGTTAAAATGTAAAGTTAGTTTCACTTTTACCCGTGAACTCACCAGTGACATTTAGATGGGCATACTGTCATCACTTAAAAAATACTTTATACGGACCATCATTTACATAAATAAGGTGTCATAAATAATAATAATAATAATAAAAAAAACAAAAAAAAAACAAAAAAAACTAGATACGAGATTTTTACTGTAAGAACGCATTGATATCATTTCCAGACTGGAGATTCTTTGGAACAGAAGCTAACCAAGGTTGCTAAAGAGCATCATGTTTCAACATGGATAGATGTTAACCAAACACAGGTACATTATATACGTTGACTTTCTTTCCAGATTTTTATACTTCACAAAACAGCAGGTGTCAAGTGCTGTGTGGCAGCAGTAAAAAGTTGCCCCGTACTTCACTTCAGTGTTGTTATATTTTTCTGGTCCTTCGGGATCATTGATGCCAGCACTATTAAGTGTTGAGAATTGAGTACCGCTCAAGCCGGTGCTGGGGGCGTGAGAGATGTTGCACTTATTCATTATCTCTCATGTACAGACTCAATCAAACCGAGTCTGCAATTCTCTTGTAATTTTGTTGTGATTAATGCTTCCGAGGGATCACTTTCTTTCCAGATTTCTAAACGCAAATAACTTTATTTAGATGAAATGATCAATCCAGTTTGATCAGTACAATTTCACTTTATTGCTAAGATTAATTTTATGAGTAGAGTGTTGTACTGCATTTCAGTCCTTTTGTCGTTCTGTTGTTTCAAATGCTACGGAAAAGTATTTTCTAGAAAGAAGCACGTATTTCACAAAATAGAAAATTTTGTCAAACTTTAAATTTTTGCTCAAATTAAATATTAAATAGACCGTATACTAAAAAAATTGACTAATGCTAATTAATATATCTTGCTTTTATTTCAGAACAATGCTATAGCCTTGTTTGAAGCCGCAGCAACTGGGGATGTTAAAAAAGTTTTTCAGTATAATAACGCTAATTACCAAGACAAGGTGAACCATTTTGTTATTGTCTATTTTCTTTAATGCATTTACATTTGTATATCATATGATTATTTGCTGTCATTTTCTGGGGATATATTATAATTTCTTTGATCTTCTTTCAATGTATTTTCTTTCACAAAATCACAAAATATTCTTACTTGGTAACAGGTAGAGAAAATAGAGTTTTTAGAAAGTCCAAAGAAGACCTTTAGAAAACAGTAATTCAATAAATTAAGGATAGAATAATTTAAGTATTGGAGTCACGTATTGTTTTGAATTTCAAATGTAAATTCAATGCATGCTGTGCTTATAAAATACTTTCATATTAAAGGAAAGCTAAGAAATAGGTACTCTTTACTACAAGACTAATCAAAACCTGAAATTTGAATAATTTTGCATTTCTCGTTTTTTAGTTCTATTAGCGTCATAAAATTTAACTTGTTAGAAATAAGAACATGGTAATAACTTTTTAATTATTCAGGAAAGCCATTAAGGCAGACCAACAAGATACATGTATGACAAAAATGTGTCCAAATATGCTTAAAAACACAAACAGAAAAAAACAGCTGTAAGAAATATAAACTTTAATCTGATGAAGTTTCAAAATTTTATTAATATATTATTGATGAATTGCTGATTTTTACTTTTAGAATGGGTTTACTGCTTTAACAAGAGCAATAGTATTCAACCAGTTTGATGCAGCTAGAGAACTTTGTACCAGAAGGCCTGCCTTGAGAAAAATAGGAGACAACGTAAGTCTACGCCTTATCAATGTTTTAATATTTATTAATAATATGATATAATTATTGTTAGGTTATGTATATTCGAAACAAAATCTCTTTCAAAGTTAAAGTTGCAGATGCAACCAAGACACAGCGATTTATACATGTCATAGCTGCAATTCATGCTGTGGAGTGATTCAGTTTAACCCTCAATTGTTTGCAAATAGTTTTCGAGGCATAGAAGGGCACGTGACTTGTTTTTGATTTTTTTGTACATAGATTAGCTCTTGATCTCTAAACCGGGTATGGTTGTTAAATTTATCAGGTATAAAGCATGACTGCTTGTGTTTTCCTTCTTCATGAATCATTTTTATCAAACATTAAAAAACAAATAAAGTACGATGTGCAAACGCATTCGTCTTAAAAACCGTTTTGGCAAACAAAAAATACAAGTATAAGATGTCAAATGTATTTTTTCAGCCGGAAGATAATCTGGATTATCTCTCCTTATACTTAAAAAATGTTGTTTTTTTACAAAAAAATCAAAGATGAGATGTTGTTTGTTTTTCAGTGCAATCGTTATCCACTACATTATGCCTATGCATTACCCAAGGAGCAAGGTGAACAGTTTATCAAAGTAATTTTAGAGAAAGATGCTAACGAGATTGAAAACAGGGTAGATAAAGTAAGGGATATTAAAAGCATTTCTGTATTTCATTGATCTATGGCCTAATATTACTTTTAAGAAAACACTTAATGATAACTCAATAGTCGACAACTTCCGAATCAGGCTTTGAAACAAATTATTTGAACGTCTCTGTACGTATGCCAAATCAGGTAGCCTGGAAGTTTGGCCGAAGTAGGACACTGACATACAATTCCAGATATAGAAGCAAATACCTTAATCTCACAACTGCTTAGATTACACAAAAATAAATCACAGCAACAAACACAAATCAAGAAATAACATTTATGTTTTCGTAATTAGATCAGAATTTATTTCAATTTTCAATTATTGATCAAGTTGTATATCTGATATAACTTTGAAAGTTAAAAAAAAAGAAATTGAACAACAGCAATTTTGTTTTATTTTTAAAGGATGGAAGGGTAGCAGCTGATTATGCAGAATTACGAGAAACAAAGGAGATAAAACAAATGTTGTACGATGCTAGAACACTTGACTTGTTTGGAAAGGTAATGCTATTTCTCATTTTATATCAGTCAACGTGGAAGTTAACAAAAACGAACTTTCATCAGTTTGTTTTACTGTTTGTAGATTTAGTTTAGTTTGCGTTCATTGAACGCCGCCTTTCCTTGTTGATCTTGTTTATCATATTTTAGATCGTTTTCGACTGCTTTTAAGTAAATAAGATATACATGTATGTATAGTGAATAAATTCCAAATAATTCATTAAAAACTTTTAAACAAGATAAGTATTATGATTATTGTACAGCTAGATAAGTTCGTTTATCCATTACATTAATCAATTATATTCATTAAATTCTTTTAGATAATCATGTGTATTCTCACTCATGAAGTCAGCGTTTCGTTTTTGCCGCTCCTCATTTGCCGATCCTTATTTGTCTTGCATATGTGTTTAGCAATTACTTGAATCCTTATTTTTGTTTTTCGTTATTTCACTGCACTGTTAATAGTTCCTTCTATGTTCTCTTTAAATGTTATGTATCATTTTCAGAGAGGACGACCATTAGGTCCGTGGCCAAAGGGTGCTGACCATATTCCTCCGACAGAACAATAAATGTTTAAACAAGAGTGATGACGGAGTTTGAGAAATGTTCAAAACATTTGTTTCACAATATTCTATAGATAAATCATAGTCAACGTTAAAAAATACAACTCGTGGTTCAGAAAAATACAAGAGTACACGAGTGAATATTACAAGGACTGAAAAATTGTATTTTTCAAACAAAGAAAACAAAGATTTTTTTCTATGTAATCTAATAGTAGGAACAGTTGTCTTCGGAAAAGCTTCGAAGGAATTTATATTTTTACTGTCAAGAGATGTCAGAAAATATTGAGAGATTATTTTACTTTATATATGTTTCATGTACAACAAAATACTTGTTATTTATGATGATGATATAAATTTCGAATGTTAGGATAGCAGATCTGTGATAGTATGTAACAGGGGGAATACATTCATCTTTACTTAAGCTCACATTGTGTTTTATTATAACTTGCTAAACACAACTATGTTATTTCTTGTTAAATGTATACACAATAAACGTATTTTTTACAACTTTTAGATTTCCTCCTATTAATCACCTCATATTAAGCTTTAATTGAAATACTAGCATTTGTAAATATGTTGAAAAAAAAACTCCAACTGGGACAGACTGCCTTTCCCGAACAGACATTTGGCCACCTTGGTTTTTTATGCCCCCGAAGGGAGGCATAATATAATCGCACCATCTGTCTGTCTGTCTGTCTGTCCGTATGTCTCTCCCACTTCATTTGTGTCCGGACTGTAACTTTGTCATACATTGAGGGATTTTGAAATAATTTGGCATAAATGACGACCACATCAAGACGATGTAACACGTCCCTACCGCAAAGGCAAGGTCACACTATCATTTTGAAGTTTCACATTATCACAATAAGAGTAAATTGGTACACCCATTCGTGTCCGGACTGTAACTTTGTCATGCATCGTATGATTTTAAAATAACTATGCATAAATGTCTACCACATTAAGACGATGTGTCTCGTTTAAGAATTACGTCTCTACCTCAAAGGTCAAGGTCACATTAACATTTTGAAATTTCACATTATCATAATTAGAATTAATAGGTACACACACTCGTGGCAGGGCTATAACTTTGTCATGCATCAAAGGATTTTAAAATAACTAGACATAAATGTCTACCACATTAAGGCGACATGTCGCGACAAAGATCCATGTCCCTACCTTCAAGGTCAAGGTCACACTTATAGTTTGAAAGTACTCATTCTCTCGAGAACATTTTGTTGAAGATACACATTCATGTCTGGACTGTAACTTTGTCATGCATGGAAGGATTTAAAAAAACTTGGCACAAATGTCTACCACATCAAGACAATGTGTTGCGGCTAAGGTTCATGTCCGTCTATCCGTGTGTCCCCACTTACACAACAATCATGTCCAGACTGTAACTATGTCATTCATTGAGGGATTTTGAAATAATTTGGCACAAATGTCTCATAACAGCATTTTGTCCCGTCTAGGAACCACGTCCCTTCTTCAAAGGTCAAGGTCACACTTATATTTTGAAGGTTCATGCTATCACAATTAAAGGTGACAGGTACAATAATACAAAGAACAATAGTCAGCAATTAGTTACTTTCATTCTTTTTTCTTTTTATAAAGCCTGCATGCTTAAAAAACAATTCCGGTGGCATTTGTCACTTGTTGGCCTTCTATATCCTTAAGGGTTTTAGTGTCTTTTACCAAATGTTTTGCGAACTTGATCCACCAAAAACATTATTGCGAGGTAAAGGGCACAAATATAGGGTATAAAGCACATTGTTTTAGTTCATCCATTCAGAGAGTGCATCTGGCCAGTGTCTGAATCAGCATGAAGTTGTCTTTAAAGGACATCGACTAAGTGTTAAGATTTCGATGAGGATATGCGCATTTAAAAGCTTCTATTGGGATCTGAATATTTCGTATTTTGCAATAAAGAAATAATACTAGAACAAAATGCTTATAGTTGATAATTAGATACATCATGAAAACAATCTCAAATTAGACTCAAAAATTAAACACAAATATTTTTCTTTTCAATTTAATTTATTTAGATTTCAAACATATAACATTATATGAACAAGAGCACCACAAAGACGGGAAATATATGTCTGAACAAACGTTTGTTTGAGTAGTCAAAAATATTTTTTATCAATTAGGGAAGAAAAACATTCATGAAACCTTATGTGCATGATTCACACAACTTCTAAAGAGGTCAAACAATCAATGCTACATGTCAAATATTTTAACTTTGTGCATTTTGGTTTCATACAACATAATGTTTTAAGCATACCAATATACGCGAAAATTATTTCGGGTGTATATAATATAATAAACTTTTACATGACACTTTTACGAAAATATAAAATATGATAGGAAACTTTGGCTGTTTTGTATCATTTTTGGTAAACATTTATTTTATATATCCAAGTAACTATACACTGTTTCTATGTTTGCAACAAAATGAAACAACTTTAATTAATAAAGCCACAAATATTCAATTTTAAATGTGTTTGGAAAAAAAAAAAAATAAATGTAAAATTTAATCTGCATATTGAATCTTCACTGGGACTTTGTTTTTCATATAAAAACTATTGAAACAATTATTTACCGAACTCGTTCATTTATCGTAACATCTCTGCTCAAGATAGGTAGTCGTTTTGAAACCCTATAACTGCTTAACAAATAGATTCGTTTTAGCTTATCTGATAACTGATATAAAATAACTATGATTTGATTATTCTCTTTGGCACGCTGACGTATTCAGTAAAACAAATATAAACAATTTCGTTTGTGATTAATATGTTTAGAGGGTAACGTTTGATAAGTTTTTTTTAAACTTATTTACACTATTATATATATGTACATGTATTGTTATAAGTAAGTGAATTTTATTTTGTTTAAATTTTCATCAAAAATATTTACATAATGCTTTCAATGACATAATTGTTGTGTAAACATGTTTTTGATATTTTAAGTTTCTTCTATTTCGACCTTTTCAACTTGGGTGGTTCCAGCATTCCTACATGAATACTGTCTAATCACCCTTATGATATGTTGCCTGCTTTTTAAATTGTCTTTTGACGTCTTATCTGTGATATGTAGGTTTCATAATCTCAGATCCCGTTTCAAAATTCCATTTTATTCAGTTCCGCCCACTGTTTTCTCGTTTAGGGCACAAGCATTTCTTTACTTTGGGACCATATGCCGCTTTTCATGGAATGACACTTACATGTACGTGTCACATTGAAGGTTCCATGATTACCGTCATATGAACACATCTGCGGATGTTTCTAATTTTCAAATTGTACCAGTTCGTGTTAAATGTTGAATTCTGCTTAAGCCGGTGCTAGGAGGCGTGGACGGTAATTTTCACTTTCCAGTACTGTCCATGAACAGGCTCAATCAAACCGAATCTGCAACATTTTCAATTTTGCCGTGTTGGGCTTTCTTTAGGGATTCTGTTTTTCTCTATTTTAATTCTTCTACAAGTCTGACAAATCATGCATAACTTTACACATCGTAAGCATGACACATTTTTCCTAGATCAAATAAACTAAATTATATATCTATACTATTCCATTTTCAAATATATGACAAGTTAAACCTTTCTGTAAAAAGAACATGTTTTCATATCGTCAGTTCGCACTCACAGAAACCTAGTGCTTCCATTTTCATTTTAACGCAAACCTGGACTCAACATGGAGCTCACTAGTCTACAGATATGAAACTTTGCAGCATTATTTCTGCCTCGTATTTGCAAAGATAACAGGTAACACTTTAAAGCAGCATCCATTCTGTTTTCTTGCTCCATACACTGACCTAGAAGATTAAGTGCTGTTTCTTTGTGTCCGAAATTTGGCTCCTCTGTAATGCATTTCGCAAGGTTGGAAATGGCTGCCTGTTTATCACGATGTCTTCTGAGATGAGAATATGTCTTATACTGTAGAAAGTATAAATACGGCAGAGAATCTACCACAGCCATATTCATCCATTCATCATATTCACCTCTATAAGGGATGTCTTGTTGCGGTGATCTGAACATTTCATGTTGGAGTTCCTTCGGACAACAGTTTATTTCGCATCGTAGAAACCTGACACATGACGCAGTTATACTCTGTAACAATGCATATTCATTATTTGCTTCATAACATAATTTATTGAATGCCTGTTTGGGTTTAGATTCTTTAAAATCGTAGCACTTACATATTGATACAACTACACGGAGATCATAATTTTCTTCAATGTTTTTCAAAATGATTTCTGCCCTCTCAATATCACCAGTACAATAGAAAATTGAGGCTAGTTTCAGTTTACCCGATGCTACATCAATGTTTAGACCTAACGTCATCAAAACGATAGACTCTCGGCATACACCACGTTTACTTTGTATGTTAATTGAAGCCAGTGCGGATCCTGAATGCATGCTTAGACATTTAACTATTGCACTACATGCTAATTTAGTTTGCCCTTGATTCATATCATGAGTTACTTTCATAAGGTATTTATATAATGTTTTCAATAGAAGTCTAATAGGATTGCTTTTATTCATGTTATTGAGCAAGACCATGACACAGTCATTGATTGTTTGAGCAGTATTGTTAACTAGTTGTCCTGACATCATACAAGACATGTATTCAGGAACAATCTCTACTAATCTCAAAAATGTGTTTTGAATTCTAAACCCAAGTTGGTCACATTCTATTTCAAGTAAAGCACTTCCGTTACTGCTTATAATGTAAGAGAGTCTATCTAGTATGATTTGTTTTGTTACTACAGTAAAACGTCTCGCCATTAAATTGTTCTCTGGGATGATAAAATGTGGGCAATAGTCATTTACAATACAATTGTAAAGTATTGTTAGACAGTAATTTAGACAAATCAGTAAGGTGTTTTCGTTCCAAGCATTGTTGACTGTACTTTTAATACTATGAAGTAAGACCGTTTTACACATAAAACTTGAAATGCTATCAGGGCATTGTGTGGTTATAAACGTTTTAAGAATCATTTTCATTAAGACAAAGCATCTGATTTGTGTTATATTGAGACTAAACATTAAATATCGCTCGGCAAGGGAAGTGGATATTCTCCATTCAAGTTCTTCATTAACACTGTATCTGCTTCCAACTCCTACAACGAAACACCCCATATCTTTACAATACTGTTTCATATCGTTTGTAGGCCACTGACCTTCAACTTGCTGATTCATCCATTGTCTAGCTTGCAATGGCCACTGTTGACAAAAAAATCCAAGGACAATGTCATCACCATAGAAGCCAGGTATTTCACCCAGTGATCGTGCTGGACCATGTCTAACACGCCTATCATCCGCCGCTGGATGAACTATTGAATTCTTTAATAATACTCTTCCTACTCTATCGCTATACCAGCTCTGATTACACACATTATCTTCTTGAAGTGGAGCATCCTTTCTTAGTATCTGTAATAAGCAATATCCTGGTGATACAGTATCATCCTGTATCATTAACAGGTTTTGTTTACCAGGTTCCCATTCACTCCAGTCTTGTATCACTTTGTACATGGGAAGTGTGAAAAGTAAATCTGTGTCAGAATTAAGTCCAACTGTTGTAGTGCCCTCTACTCTACTACCTAAGGAATACACATTGACATCTCCATGTGTTAATAATTGTTGTCCTATTGTTTTTAATGTTTCTTCAAACAGACGTAGTCGCCTTTGTTTTATTACCATTCTTTCGTTCACACCTATCTCATCAAGTACTTTAGACAGTCTGAGTGACACATTGCGAGTGTAATCAGGAATTTCCGACATCCTGTAAATATAATTAAAAATTATTATTTTCATCGTAAATACAAGTTACAATAACTAAAGAAAATGCATGTCTACAATTGACTTTGTAAATATAAAATCAAATTTTCTTCTGGAGATGTAATTTTCAGCACAACATGAATAATTAAACAGTAAATAAATTGTTATATTTTATGTTTGTTCTGTTCATTTTGTTATTTTATTATAGTCTGTTTTATGGAACCTTTAAAGAATCTTTCTATTGAGATATTTTCTTTACACAGATTAAAAGCATTTAACCAACTCTGACTTGAAATTGACACAATAATGGAATTAATTCCTATTTCATTTGTTCCTTAAATATAATATATGCTAAAAGAATAATGAAAGAATACTAATTTTAAAAAGAAAACAACATATATGGATTGTTGTTCAAAAGAAAAGATAAAAAAAATGTTATGTTATATCCTTCCGTTGATCCTCAATATAAAATTTATAACCCATTTACAATATACTTTATTGAATATAATTATACCCCCCAAAGACCTTACTCATAATTTAAAATGTTTAAAAAAAAAGAACATCAAGTGATCAATAAATAATGGTAAATAACTTGTATTATTTACATGATTAAGATCTTGTGTGTTTGGGAAGAATAAGAATATTCGAATAAAAGAAATTATCTTTTTATGATTTATGTATTTATTACACCTTCAATATTTTTTGTAGATAGTTTAAAAATTGAAATTTATAATGCTTAAACATCCAAGTAAAACAATTAATGCTATTTTTACACGACATGCAGAAGTAAAGTATTGGTCAATTTACCTACATTCAACTTAAAAATAAATATTGAAAACAGAAACTGACAAAACAAACATACCTTGGGAACTTCCCTATTTTCTTACAAGGTATTAAAAGAATCACTGATGAGAGATATTACAAGATTCTCATTATAGTCTCTAGTTAAATTTCTTAAAAATTAGATGTCGATCGTACCAAATCCCATCAATAAATCTAAATAAACAATTAAGTGCACATATTCTTTTATTAATTTTATTCTAAACAAGGAAGTTAATATTTCTTTGCCCTCATGTTTTGACAAACGATAATGTCTTTTTCGCATGAACTAGGTCAACGATTAAGTAAGTATACTGTGCTCCTCTTAGTTCACGGTACTTAACACTTTAAACAGTAAAGAACACAAACAATAAACTTACACTAAAAAATGTCATAAACTGTATCATTTAGTCATTTTTCTGCTATATGACACAAGGAAACAACAATAATTCAATCAAAATTAGTTTTACTTTGTCAGATGAAACCGTGTGTCGCCATTTAAAAAACAGTAATGTCATCAATTTACCTCGCGGTAATGGTGTTTTATTTCAGTTTTTCTCATGTTTCAGTTAAAATTTTTTTAAGTTATTTTGCATAATTTAAATTATTAAAAGTAATTTTACATTGTAACTCAAAATTTATTTTTTCAACAAACAAGACATTTAGAAAATGATGATTTGTTTCAGACGTATGCACAAATTTAATGGACTATTGTTGTTTTTTGCAGAAGTTTGTAAGATGTTGTTCAGTTTTTACGTAAAATCTATAGATTTAAATTATTTTGCACAGAAACTTTGTTGTTAAGGTGTTTGAATTAAATATGTCAATTCTGACCAATTATAACAATGGTCACATGAAAATATGCCATTACCGTGAGATAAATGATGACGCGGAATTAGTGATGTTGAGTATAAGCCATGTAAGTAAATAAGAAAAAATACAAAATTTACCAAATTAAATTAGTCAAGAACGAATTAACGAACAATTTAATTTGGAAAACGCTAACCTAACCAATTTGATGTTTAAAACAGCCGATGAACTAGCTTACTAGTTAAAGTAAATATGTTCTGATTCATGTGTAACTGAAATCTTAAACGTGTCTTTAACCTGCGGCAATCCTTTTGAGCTACTATATAGTGTCTCAATATTACTCAATAATGAAATAAAATATGTTTGAATATGAAAATCAATTAGTCGAAATAAATACCTGTTAAGTTAAGCAGCTTGAAAACTTGATCATAAATTGAAAAGGAAAACTAGGGGGAATTCCACCTTGTTGATAAAGCTACGCATTTGGCAATCGGAACACCTCGATTAATTTACGGAAAGGGCCGAAAATGTGTGATTTCTCTGCGCGAGGTTACTTCCCTTTATCATACGTACGTGAGCAAGAAATGGACCTAGAGACTTGCCAATTAGAATCGTTGTCTGAACTGTAATAGAACACAATAAATAGCAATTTGAAGACTGAATGTGCATTGCCATTGTAAATGCTTTATTTTAAGGTAAACAAGCATTTTCGTAATTTAACATGTACAGAAATACTCCATGACCCGATTTTAGACAACATAGTCGTTATTGCCCTAGAATACTGACCTGAGTTTCTTTACTAGAATAAGGTATATTTATCCGATCCAGACAAAAATATTTGGAAAAAAGGGAATCCCTCAGAAGCAAGGAAAACGACAATATCAAGTGGTTCAAATTTGAGACTAAGTAAATCAAACGTACGGTAGCTATGTAGCCACGTCTGTGGTTAAATAGCGTATAGGGCGGCTGGAAATTTGCCATATAACCTATACTGTATGATGTGATGCGTGATGTATATGGTAAACCCGATAAAAATGTAGTCCAAATTTCGTGTTCATACATATGGGCTGGATGCATAAAGGTTTTTGCCGATGACGGAAATCTCAGCGATGATAATAGCTTTTCGAAACAAATGTGCTAAAATTAGAATTATATAAACATTGATTTTTTATATCTTTTAGATTTTGTATTATAAAAGCAGATGCTGACTTCATTTATATAATTTTGGAAATCTTTTTTTTTTAACTTGTGAGAATAAAATAGTAAAACAGTTATTCAATTCTATATTTATTCATCAATAAACCACATAAATATCACATATTACCATTATATCACAGGCCTTTTTTTCACAATTATGCCACAATTTTATTCATAAAATGAGGGACAAAATGTACCCATTAACCTTTGTAACAGAGAATTTGTACGTTTTATTTTTAGAGCAAAGAAAAATTATTAAAAAATTCATCAACCATTCTTTACTATCTTTTTCAGATACCAACTCGACCTGTTTACGAACAGTGGCAATCCAAAAAGAGTTTTGTGAATTATAAAAAATACTCAAGTCTAATGCATGATTATATCATTACTTTAAATAAAGAATGAATAGTTGTAAATAAAGCTTTTGACATTTGACAATAAATTTAAAATGTGTGTTGTTGGCTGCACAATATTTTTGACAGAAGAAGATATTGTAGTGAATAATTAAATAGAGTCCAGTGTACGAGGTTCCCGCACAGGACCCAGGTCCCCGCAACTTTCCCATTTTTCTTTTGTCTTGAAAATTCAAATGAATCTTTATTCAGTTTTCATTTGTGTTTTACTGAACTGTCCTGGTTTTAACAGGATATTGATAATCTGGGATCTTGCCCCAAAGCCTTTCCCCCTTAGAGAGTGGCACACGAAAATGCAAATACATGTAATGGCTGTGTAGGTCACATAAAAAACAAAACACCCTTTTTCAGCAATTAAAACCAAATGCTAATTTCTATTTCAATGTTAAGTTATTTATAAAAATATTATTTGAAAAAATGTTATGTTTTTGTTTTTGGGCAAAATTGCTGTTATTATGAAATATAGGGCACATGATTTTAACTTCCCCCAATAACAAAGCGTCAAGTCATTTCATTGATTTTTTTTGTTTAAAATGATACTAAAACTCTTAATCGAACAAGTCATAACTAAACAGATGAAAAAAACTTCAACAATTTATTTTTTTTATGTCTGTGTTTACTACCTACAAGTGGTAAAAAAGTATGTTTCCATTGCTGTTACATGTTTCCTGTGTGCTACTATGCTTGGAAATAAATGATTGTATACTGTAGTAAGAATGTGCTTTAAATTTATTTGAACTCCTGAAATGTTATTTGAGAATATTTTAACATCTTTTTGATTATTTATATGGATTGTAAATGTCATTTGCATTGTGTAAATTACTGTCTTAGTTAACTTCAAAATATTTTACTTAAAAAACTCAATTTCCAACATTTTCATGAAAATTAACATAAATCTATGCTGCTTTAAAATAAAACAATACCATACAATTACAATCTTAATTAATAAGAAATTAATATTCAAAATAAATAAAAGAATGTTTCAAAATGAATACCCTATAATATATTACTACATAATAAACATAAATTTTGAGTACATTTTTTTGTAGTTATATGTGAAACAAAAATGGATTTCGGTATCAACAGTATTCATGGCATTTCTAAAGTTCTTTACTAAAAGTGTTCTGTTTATCATTAAAACAAGAGGTATGTGATGGCACTGTATTGCTCACCTGAGGCATATTGCAGAGGAAAGTAATTTGGTCACTTTCAGGGTCTGTCATTTTTTAGCCAATATGAATAATTTATAAAATAGTTTAAGATGTATGCCATAAAACATGCTAAATATAAAAGTTCTTCAAACAAAAAATGTATAAATGTGTTTTACTCTATCTTATTCAATATAACGTAAATGTTGGTCAATTTCAATCCAAGGGGAATACTTAATATAACTTTGTAAAGGAACCACAAGGAGTACTACCTGCCAAAGCATTTTGCACACACATGAGCAAAAACAATTTTTAAGTATAAACACATTAAAATAAGAAAAATATATTAAAAGTTTTAGAACATCTGGTGCTTTTCCGCTTTAAAGACAATCTTTCTTAACAAGAGCTGTCACAGAAGAACAGCAAAGCTCGACTAATAAAATACTGGATGCAGTAAGGAAGACAAAACTATGAAGAAAAAAATCAATTATGTATAATTATGTATTAAGTTATGGTAAAAAAAAACATTGTTTACATAAATTCCAAGATCAAGGGGAATAATTCTAGAAATAGTCAAGCTAGAGTTATGAACCTGGTCAAACAACATGGGTGTAATGATAAAAAATATATATTTGAAGTACAGATACCTTAAAAAGTAAAGACGTTATAATATTCTTAAAGAAAATCCTAAGTTCAAAGAGAGATAAATCTGTAAATTTTGCTTCAAGAGTTATGAACATTGTCACATAAAATGTAATTGATGATAAGGAATAAGTATTTGAAGTTTGAGGTAGATACCTTTAAAACTAAAACATTATTGTAAAAAATAACATTTTTCTAGTAAAAATCTATGTTTATGGGAAGATAATTCTTGCAATATTGGTGCTACAGTTATGAACCTTGTCACATAACATGTGGTTAAGGAAAAGGTACATATATTTGAAGTATGAAAATGATCCCTTAAGAAATAAAGAAGTATCAGTCAAAAATAGTATTTTTAAGGAAAATTCTAAGTTCAAGGGGAGAAAAATCTGAAAAAATTGGTTCTAGAGTTATGAACATTGTCACATAATATGTGGTTGATGATAAGGAACATATGTTTGAAGTTGATGACTTAAAAAATGACAAAGTAATAGTGAAAAATATTTTACTGCACCAAAACTTAAATCTGAAATCTGGACACGGATGCTGAAGCCGGGACGAGTAGGACAGCTCTCCATATACTTCGTATAGTCGAGCTAAAAATTAATTATATTATCAGTTTCACAGCTATCATTTCTGTACTTGTTATTTTGTTTTGTTCAATGGAAACAAATCTTAAGCATACATTTACACAATCACAAAGCACCAACATGATTTAACAACAAAAATATCAGATCTAAGCCATAAGTACCTAACAAATAAATACCAATCCATTTAAATCATCAATAATTGTACATACAAACACCATCCTTAAAGAGACAGTAACCTGGTCTAATAAAGCCATGCACAAAGAAACACACAGTATTATTGCACTTAATACATGTAAATTTAAATCCATAAAATATTATGGATATGAGGACACAGGTTGGATTGTCTCCCTTGTATCAGTCTGTATATACATTTGTATATATATTTTATACACAAACAAAAGCATGTAATGATTCTATTTTACATCAAAATAACTTTATGGAAACCATTATGTAAGAATGGATTTACAGAATATGATATCTTTTACCAGGTAATTGTAAAAAAAATCTGTAAGGAATTGTTTGCACTAGAATGTATTCAAACATATATCTAAAGAAAATGAATTAGAAATTTAATTTCAGCAATATTTATATATATGTATTAAATGTACATAATAATGTATTAATATGTATATAACGATGAACTGTAAATGTTCAAGTTAGACAAATAAATTTTCTGTTGTTTTTTTTCTGTTATAGAAATGGTCCAGTGACCCTACCCTATACTTTTTACAAAAAAGTCTTATCAACTCATTTAAGTTATTAACTAGCATTTATACAATCAGGGCGTTCACTAGCCATGACATCCTGAGGGTCATGTTGACTAAGTAACATGTATGACAGTATCTAATAAACACACTGAGAAAATGGTTTGATGTGGTTAAACAATGATGATATAAATGCAAGAGCAAGTAAAATGAAAATAACTTTTCCCAAAGAAAATTAAGTAAACAAAACAATTACAATACATTCATATCATTGCAGGCATCCGAGAGGTAAAACAATTTTCCTGAATATCATACTAAAACTAAATATTTTCATTAGAGCAAAGTACAAGAGAAGGTTGTTCTTTAAGTTAGAGTAACAAGCTTTTCCCTTTTGTTTATATAGTCTTTAGAAATAGTTCAAATACATCAACAATATTTGCAGCACCTCCTCAACATTTCATCTTTACACATGTTACGATTTTCATTAAACATTAAATCAAATGCAATAAAAAATAATTGCTTTCCCTTCACGTCGACAAATCTCAGCTGAGTCCCTTTAAGACTGGTGCTAGCACTTTAAAGACCAGGCCTAGCAGTTTAAAGAACAGGCTAACTTTAAAACATAAACAAAAGGTCATTAGATGACTCATATTAAAATATCACAATGAGATTATATATAACAGATAGCAAAATAAATAATAAATTTATGTGATTAATTTCCCTAACATCATGGATCGGCCTCCGCATATATAACACGCGAAGGTTTTGTTTTATTTGGTCTCCAGTTTGATATTTCAGGTAAAACTGAAGCTGCATTTTCTACAGATGCTAACAAAAACTCGTCTAACGTTCTTTCGGTGCTCTCTGCTATAAATCTAATAAATGCTCTCAGATCACCTAGGTTTCCCTCATTTAAAGTTTCATAATATCGTGCTCTATCTTCCACTTTAATAGTTACAGGCGGAAATCCTGCCTGCATTAGAATTAAATTCATTAACAATCTAGAAGTTCTACCGTTTCCATCGTAAAACGGATGGATATAAACTAATTTATAATGAGCTAAAGCTGCATACTCAACAGGATGTAAACTTAAAGCTTCTTCTGTATTTAACCAATTGATAAAATCTTCCATTAAAGCCGGCACGTCTTCCGGAGGTGCGGGAACAAAATCCGCAACAAAAACTTGTGTTTGTCTTAATCGCCCACCTTCAAGTGGGTCAACAAAACCTAAAACGCGTTTATGTATTTGTAATATATCCTCTAAAGTTATAGATCCAATGCGACCTAATAAGGTATTATTCACGTAACTTAGCGCAGCATCTAACCCAAGCACTTCCTGTTGTTCAACGAGAGATTTACCTCCAATTGCAATACCTGTTTCAACAATTGAACGTGTCTGTGCCAAAGTTAAAGTGTTTCCTTCTATTGCATTGGTGTGAAATATATGCTGATAATATGCTTCGCGTTTCTGTCTCCGTAAACCAGGATGATTATTCGGAACTTTGTACAATAAGCTCAATTTCTTATCTATTGCATTATACATCCTTTGATCAATTTCTTCTACTAAAGGCAGCACTCTCTTTCTATTCTCCAATGCTTTTGAATGTTCCGGATTAAGTAACAAAGCTTTACTATACAATTGTTCAGCTTTTGCTACGTCATTCTCGTGATGTTCGAGAAATTCACCAAAAGCAGTTAGAATATCAGCATGAGAGGGGTCAAGGTTCAACGCATGCTGAAATAGTTTCAAAGCCTTGTCATGTTTTCCTTGAGCTTCCATATCCATGGCAATGTTCATGGCTGTCACAGCTTCCTGTTTTACCTCTGTAAATATAAAACGGAATGAGCCATTTAAATTCCTTAGTATCAAAGTGAAACAAGAAATTATACCTTAAACAGCATGCCCACTCAATTTTAAATGTAGGGGTACATGTACCCCCTGTCATTGAAAATTGGGGGTACATTTCAAAATCTGGGGGTACACATAAGTTTAAACATGTTTTTGTTTGTAAGAACATTTTATATAAATGTAGTATAATATAGTATAATTATTGTTTTGTTTTGTTAATATTTTTCATGAAATTATTTCATTTTAATGCATCAACACATGGAAATCGTTTTTTGTTTGTTTGTTTTTTGTTTTTTTTTCACTTTTATACCAAATCAAATTTTATTCTGGTTAAATAAGTCCACTCTATAGACAAAAAGTTTACATTTGTAAAAAAAACGTGAATGTATATAGGCAGCGTTTAGCGGAATGAATAGGAAAATTGTGTACAGCTTCACACAGTGTGTTAAGAGATTCATCCGATCGACAATTATTTTAGCAAATATCTTCAAAATGGGAGCAAATTGAAGATCGATATTTAAAGATTTAATGCTGATTTAATAATAAAGGAACAATTCATTCTCATGTTTGGCTTGGAAACTAAGAATTTTTGCGAAATTTTAGGGTTTCTGAAATTCCAGCGAACGTGAAATCGCCGATGTTCGGGATCAATTTTCGGATCAAAGAAAAGCGTACGTGTATTTTGGTCAGTTGTCCTGGCATTTCGGCACAATATGTTAAATTATTAAAACTCTAATAGAACGTTTTTGCAAGAATGAAACGAAAGCAAAATTTTGCTAACAAAGTGCCGAAAATTTCGAGAATAATTCAAAATTACACTCATTTGTAATTTGAGAAAACAGTCTTGCGGCGTAAACAGTCGATATTCTTATCCTTTTGTCGGTAAAATTTGCTAATTTCCAATCAACTGTTGATCAAAGATGTTAAATTATCACCTCGTGTTATATCTGGTATTTACATGTACAACATGTGTATACATTAGTCTGATCTCTATTGCGTGATAATGATTGAAAGTGTTATCGCTGATTGGCTAATCGCTTCACGGGTCGATGTGCATAGGACCGCCTACCTATAGACTGACGGGCGCTGACGTATTTGTGTATTTGTGGTCGTTTGATGCGTCCCCAGGCAAAATTAAGCGTACATAGGCTATTCCAAACATTCATTCTGACGATTTTACTTTGCGTGCATGTACCCCCTGCTTATAATTTTTATGCGTGCATCTAGAATTTTGTGCGTGAACTACGCACTGTAGTGCGTGAATGGGCATGCTGCCTTAAAGGAACTCCATTGAGGTTTATAAGGCTAAAAACATAAAATTTCAATTTTTTCAAATAGATCGACACACGCACTTTAAAATTGAAATATAAATATATTCAAACTAAGAAATATACAATAAAAAATGAGAAATAATTTCTTAAACAGACCCTTTTTTCTTTTATATAGTATTAAATGCAGTTAATATTGGTAAGTGGTGGCATTCCATAAATGCTTCTGAACCCATTTGAATAACTAAACTAGAACTCCGCGAGTCCGATGTGTCGCCTTGTGAACAATATAGTTTAGGAAAAATGGCCAGGACAAAAATGAAATATATATCATGAAAATTAACAAAGGACAATATCTCAAAAAATAAAAAAATGCAGAGCAGCAGTTCTTGTGCACTGCACTTACAAATATTTAGCTCTATCATCCTATGAATTTTCAAGTTAATAGCTTTTATAATTTATGAGAAATGGCATGGACAAAAATAAAGTATGAAAATTAATTAACCCTTTCGCTGCCAGAGGGTTATTGTTTTATTGATCACCTATTTGCCAGAGGGTTTTCTAAGAAATTACTATATAATTAATTAATATAATTATTATTATTTGTTATTAGTATTATAATAATTATATATCTTTCAAAATCTGTTAGTATAATAATAATTATTGTCGATGGTATAATTTTCTTTATATCTATTATTATTTTTATGATTATTATTATTAATTTATTATTATTACTATTATTATTATAGAAACGGCTAAAGCCGTCCATATGGCAAATACGCCGAAAATAACAGGGACGGCTTAAGCCGTACCTTATAATGGCAGTGAAAGGGTTAAAGGGTAAAAAAACTCAAAAATAAGAATAAATAAATTAAAATTGTATTTTGGTGTTGGTAGACCATACTCTGGAGCCTGTTACGAGCCTAATATTGATTTGGCGTGAACGGTTTGGCCCATTTTACAGACTTTTTTTTCTTACTGTCAAACGGTTGGAAAAAGACAGCGCCTATCCCAAATTATCTCAGTGTCTCTTTGACATGTCTAATAAGTTAAACTACACTGTTACATGTATTTAAGCTGAGGTCTGACTAAATTATGTCGGGTAAACAATATATTATGGACTAAATGGATTGGGATTTTTCTAACCCTGTAAAAGTGAACAAAGCAGACTGAATGCTAATAAAAATGAAACCTGAATTCTGTGGCATTGTTTGTTGTCTCGTTCGTTTAACGACAGATGTTCCCGTAGTTGTCAAAACTTTTGATGACGTAATCTGGTTATTTCCATCAAAAACAGAAACTAGGATCGCCGGCATGTATCGATATGTCATAAAATATGCTACTGTCAGTCCTGACAACATGAAAATCAATTGGAAAGACAATATAGACATTTTGCTCTCTGATACTTTTTTTAGAACAGGCCCCATTGGACCAAGAGACGAACTGACAGGTGGAACTTTCTTCCTACAAGTTATCATGTTGTCAAAACTGTAAGGTCAAGGTTGCGTTAGCCGGAAGCTCATTTGGCAACGTGTGATTGGTCAATTAATCCCGGAAATGCCTCGTTTTGAAATCAAAGATGTCTGCGCCCATGGCCAAAACATGTCGTTTTAAACTATTTTAAGATTTACGTCTTTACATACGTCAAATAAACATGTCACTATTTGCTGTTGAAAGGTAATCATAGGGGTTAACTGGAGCGAGTAATTAACCATTGTTTTTTTATGATACTCTAGATAAAACTGTCGAAAGTCCCAAATGGGCAGCACGAAATAACCAAATCTTCCTAATTCTCCCAAATATTGTCCAAATATTGCCCAAATATACCCTAATATTGCTCAAATGTACTAAAAAAAATGTTTAACACTAAAAAAGTGCTGTTATTATTATGAATTATAATATACACTTTCACTATGATCAAGGGACTGGTTCCCGGATTCCCTTGTATCATCTCATAGCTGTCTCTTTAAAAAGTATCCAATTATGTATACCTGCTTAGAGTGATCGTAAATGATTTTAAAGCAGTATGATGTAGAACTAGAACTATGATTAATCAAACATACCCAAATATACATTTTCCTATCATCGTGTTTTGAACCAAAATATGCAGGGGAAAAGTCTATGCATCTGTTTTCAATCAGAATTTCTCGGATTTTATCGTTGTCTTATAAGTTGAAAAAGTTGCCTCTGGCCATTATCGGAATACACCGCCGTTTATTATTGTGTTACAGCGCCAAACAAGAAATGGTACTGAAAATTTCGCTGATAGGTATAGATTTGTATATGTTCTTTTTCTTTTTAAATATACACATGTAGTCTAGCCGGGCAAGCCATTAAGCTGTATAATCATATCTTTATTTTAATTTGCAAGTAATGAACCTTGATAAGCGAATGTCACAAATTTATTTTCTTACAACATCGGAACTGCCCATTTTACAGAATGAATGAAAGTTATAGCTGACTAAGTCATATTATTTTAATATGAAATTAGGCAAAGCCTATGAACGGGGAAGTCGTTAAAAAAAAAATTCCCAATTTTTTTTTTCCATTTTAAAGGTGTCATTCGGTATTTCATGCACCGCTTCCGTTTTCACTTGGAACACTCGACAATTATTATGTATCCGAAAAGTTGAGATTTGTTCCGTTATCCGAATTCCCTGCCTATTAAATTATCATTGAGTTACATTGTAAATGGCAGCGCCAGACTAGAATTGACACTGAAAAATTCATTCATGATAGGTATAGAATTCTATATATTTTTTAATTGTTTTTTATTTGATTTTCTTTTAGATATACATGTGTAGTCTATAGCCAGGCAAGCCAAAGCCCGGGCCCACAAATTCTTTGACTTCCCTGTATTAATATTGATTCATTCTCACATTATAATCTGTATTATATACAAACAAAAATGAGTATTGTTATATTTGGGTATTTTGTGCTGCCGGTCCAAAATATTTTAGGGTATTTGTGCATCATTGATCAGACACTTCACCCCAAGCCATTTTTTGAAGACACAGCACCCATCATAAAAGGCAAAGCCTCAAAGCACGCTTGATTTACCTATACCATGAGATAGCATATAATAATTGTTCATTTTTATTTGACATTTTCCGTTTTAAAAGTGTCATTCGGTATTTTATGCACAGATTTCATTTATTCTGGTTCCCTGTGACCTGTCCTATTATTGTTCCAATAAAAGTAAGCAGAACACCAGTCTACACATCCATTTTCAATCAGAATTCCTTGGCTTGTATATTTATTTTATAATTCGAAAAGTTGCCATGTGTCAATTCAGTACTTCTGACAAAGTTTTCAGAACCATCACTATCTATACCAAATTACAGTCAACTCGGCCCCAAGTTAACCCGGCCTCAAGTCAATCCGGCCCCAAAATTGGTCAATTCAGCCCCACATTTTTATTTGTGGCAAATAACTAATAATAAAAATAGGACCGGGTTGACCAGATATCAGATTGAATTGGGGCCGGATTGACTAATGTAGGGCCGGATTCACTTGAGACCGGGTTGACTTGTACCGTCTATACCTAACAGCGAATTTTTCACTATCATTTCTTGGCACCGTAACTCAATGATAAAAGGCTGGGTATTTCAACAATAAACCAAACTTTTCTTATCTCCCCTTGAACTTAGAATTTTCCTTAAAAAATACTATTTTTTACTGTTACTTCTTTATTATGCCCCCATTTCGAAGAAAAGGGGGTATATTGCTTTGCACTTGTCGGTATGTCGGTCCGTCGGTCCGTAGACCAAATGGTTTCCGAGTGATAACTAAAGAACCCTTAGGCCTAGGAACTTCAAACTTGGTATGGTGATTGGTCATGACAAGTAGATGACCCCTATTGATTTTGGGGTCAAGGGGTCAAAGGTCAAGGTCACATTGACCTTGTAAGCAAAAACGGTTTCCGATCAATAACTAAAGAACCTTAAGGCCTAGGAACTTCAAACTTGGTATGGTGATTGGTCATGATCAGTAGATGACCCCTATTGATTTTGGGGTCAAGGGGTCAAAGGTCAAGGTCACATTGACCTCTTGGGTAAAAACGGTTTCCGATCAATAACAAAAGAACCCTTAGGCCTAGGAACTTCAAACTTGGTATGGTGATTGGTTATGACCAGCAGATGACCCCTATTGATTTTGGGGTTAAGGGGTCAAAGGTCAAGGTCACATTGACCTTGTAGGTAAAAACGGTTTCCGATCAATAACGAAAGAACCCTTAGGCCTAGGGACTTCAAACTTGATATGGTGATTGGTCATGATCAGTAGATGACCCCTATTGATTTTGGGGTTAAGGGGTCAAAGGTCAAGGTCACATTGACCTTGTAGGTAAAAACGGTTTCGGATCAATAATGAAAGAACCCTTAGGCCTAGGGACTTCAAACTTGATATGGTGATTGGTCATGATCAGTAGATGACCCCTATTGATTTTGGGGTCAAGGGGTCAAAGGTCAAGGTCACATTGACCTCTTAGGTAAAAACAGTTTCCGATCAATAACGAAAGAACCCTTAGGCCTAGGAACTTCAAACTTGGTATGGTGATTGGTCATGATCAGTAGATGACCCCTATTGATTTTGGGGTCAAGGGGTCAAAGGTCAAGGTCACATTGACCTCTTAGGTAAAAGCAGTTTCCGATCAATAACTAAAGAACCCTTAGGCCTAGGAACTTCAAACTTGGTATGGTGATTGGACATGACCAGCAGATGACCCCTACTGATTTTGGGGTTAAGGGGTCAAAGGGCAAGGTCACATTGACCTTGTAGGTAAAAATGCTTTCCGATCAATAACTTAAGAACCCTTAGGCCTAGGAACTTCAAACTTGGTATGGTGATTGGTCATGACCAGCAGATGACCTATTGTTTTTAGGGTCAAGGTGTCAAAGGTCATGTAACATTGACCTTGTAGGTAAAAACGGTTTCCGATCAATTAACTAAAAACTCTTAGGCCTAGGAACTTCAAACTTTGTATGATGATTGGTGGTGACCAGCAGATGACCCCTATTGAGTTTTGGGTCAAGGGGTCAAAGATCAAGGTCACATCGACCTTGTAAGTAAAAACGGTTTCTGATCAATAACTTAAGAAAGCTTATGCCTAGGAACTTCAAACTTGGTATGGTGATTTTCCATGACCAGCAGATTACCCCTTTTGATTTTGGGATCAAGGGGTCAAAGGTCAAGGTCACATTGACCTTGTAAGTAAAAACGGTTTCTGATCAATAACTAAAGAACGCTTCGGCCTAGGAACTTCAAACATGGCATAGTGATTGGTCATGATCAGCAGATGACCCCTATTGATTTTGGGGTCAAAGGTCAAGGTCACATTGACCTTGTATGTTAAAACGGTTTCGGATCAATAATAAAAGAACCCTTAGGCCTAGGAACTTCAAACTTGGCATGGTGATTAGTCATGACCAGCAAATGACCCCTATTGATTTTGGGGTCAAGGGGTCAAAGGTCAAGGTCACATTGACCTTGTAAGTAAAAACGGTTTCTGATCAATTAACTAAAAACGCTTAGGCCTAGGAACTTCAAACTTTGTATGATGATTGGTGGTGACCAGCAGATGACCCCTATTGAGTTTTGGGTCAAGGGGTCAAAGGTCAAGGTCACATTGACCTCTTGGGTAAAAACGGTTTCCGATCAATAACAAAAGAACCCTTAGGCCTAGGAACTTCAAACTTGGTATGGTGATTGGTTATGACCAGCAGATGACCCCTATTGATTTTGGGGTTAAGTGGTCAAAGGTCAAGGTCACATTGACCTTGTAGGTAAAAACGGTTTCCGATCAATAACGAAAGAACCCTTAGGCCTAGGGACTTCAAACTTGATATGGTGATTGGTCATGATCAGTAGATGACCCCTATTGATTTTGGGGTTAAGGGGTCAAAGGTCAAGGTCACATTGACCTTGTAGGTAAAAACGGTTTCGGATCAATAATGAAAGAACCCTTAGGCCTAGGGACTTCAAACTTGATATGGTGATTGGTCATGATCAGTAGATGACCCCTATTGATTTTGGGGTCAAGGGGTCAAAGGTCAAGGTCACATTGACCTCTTAGGTAAAAACAGTTTCCGATCAATAACGAAAGAACCCTTAGGCCTAGGAACTTCAAACTTGGTATGGTGATTGGTCATGATCAGTAGATGACCCCTATTGATTTTGGGGTCAAGGGGTCAAAGGTCAAGGTCACATTGACCTCTTAGGTAAAAGCAGTTTCCGATCAATAACTAAAGAACCCTTAGGCCTAGGAACTTTCAAACTTGGTATGGTGATTGGACATGACCAGCAGATGACCCCTACTGATTTTGGGGTTAAGGGGTCAAAGGGCAAGGTCACATTGACCTTGTAGGTAAAAATGCTTTCCGATCAATAACTTAAGAACCCTTCGGCCTAGGAACTTCAAACTTGGTATGGTGATTGGTCATGACCAGCAGATGACCTATTGTTTTTAGGGTCAAGGTGTCAAAGGTCATGTAACATTGACCTTGTAGGTAAAAATGGT